CAGTGTTTTTAAAGGAATCAAAACTTTTTCTGCATCTATGGAGATAATAATATGATTTCTGTTAGTTTTGTTTTTGACATGATTCATTATGCTGACAGTTTTCCTAGTACTGAACCAGCCCTGAATTCCTGGTCTAAATCCCACACGGTGACAGTATGATCCTCATGATAAATTGTTGTAATCTCTTTGCTAATATACATATTTTTTTGCATCAATATTCATTAGGGAAATTGCTCTAATTTTCTTTCGCTGTTTTGGCTCTTCTTGGTTTAGGTATCATCACCATATCTGTGTCATAAAAGGAATTTCATAGGACTCCTTTGCCTATTTTTCTAAATACTTTATATGGTGTTGAAATTGACTGTTCTTTAAATGTTTGGTAGAATTCACTTGTGAATCCCTCTGGTCCTGAGAACTTTTTTCTTAGGTTCATTGATGGCTTATTCAATTTTGTTTTCTAAAATGGGGTCAGTTAAGTGTTTTATTTCCTCTTCTGTTAATCTGGGCAATTTATATTTTTGTAAATATTCCTCCATTTCACTAAGATTAGCAGATTTATTGGCATACAGTTGAGCAAAATAGCTTTCTGATTATTGCTTTAATTTCCTCTTCATTGGTGGTCAACTCACCCTTTTCATTTGTTGATACTGGTAATATGATTTTCTTTTTTAAAAATCAAATTAATGAAAGGTTTATCTATTTTATTGTTTTTTTTTATAAATCTAGCTCTTAGTTTTATTTATTAGTTCAATAGTTTTCTTAATATCAATTTTATTAATCTCTCCTTTAATTTTCAGTATTTCTAATTTGATATTTAATTGGGGATTTTTATTTTGTTCTTCTAGCTTTTTTAGTTGCATGCTGAATTCATTGATCTCCTCTTTCTCTGTTTTATTCATGTGAGTATTTAGAGATATAAAATTTCCCCTAAGAATTGCTTTGGGTGTGTCCCATAAGTTTAGGTATGTTGTCTCATCATTGCCATTCTCTTTAATGAAACTGATTGAGTGGGTCAAACAAGAAATAATAGAAATGTTCTTTAGGATTAGATTATTTAGTTTCCAATTAGCTTTTAGCCTATCTTTCCATGACCCTTTGTTACATGTGATTTTTTATTCATCATGAAAAGGATGCATTTAATATTTCTACCTTTCTGCATTTGATTGTGAGGTTTTTATGCCCTAATACACGTTCAGTTTCTGTGTAGGTGCCATGTACTGTTGAGAAAAAGGTACATTCCTTTCTATCCTCATTCAATTTTCTCCAGAGGCTTGTCATATCTAACTTTTCTAAAATTCTATTCACCTCCTTAACTTCTTTCTATTTATTTTGTGTTTAGATTTATCTAGTTCTGAGAGGGGAAGGTTGAGGTCCCCCATAGTATAGTTTTGCTATTTCTTCCTGTAATTCACTTAACTTCTTTAAGACTTTGGATGCTGTACCATTTGGTGCATATATGTTTAGTATTCATATTGCTTCAGTGTCTATGGCACCTTTTAGCAAGATGTAGTTTCCTTCCTTATCTCTTTTAATTAGGTCTATTTTTGCTTTTACTTTGTCTGAGATCAGGATTGCTACCCCTGCTTTTTTTTTTTACTATAGCCTGAAGCATAATATATCCTGCTCCAGCCTTTTACCTTTACTCTGTGAGCATCTCTCTGCTTCAAAAGTCTTTCTTGTAAATAACATATTGTAGAATTCTGGTTTTTAATCCATTCTGTTATCCATTTCTGTTTTATGGGAGAGTTCATCCCATTCACATTCACAGTTATGACTACTGTCTTTCTCTCCATCCTATTTTCTCCCATTTACACTTTTCTCTCTCCTTCTGCCCTTTCCCACCTCATTAATGTTTTGCTTCTGACTAACACCTCCTTCAATCTTCCCTCCCTTTCCCTTTTTTCCCCCTTTCCCCTTCTACTTCCCTATAGAGTAAGATAAATTTCTATACCCAACTGATTGTTATTCCTTCTTTGAGCCAAATCTGATGAGAATAAGGTTCAAACAATGCTCACCTCTTCCCTTCTTTCCCTCTACTGTAACAGGTCTTTTACACCTCTTCATGTGATGCATAGTCTGCCTCCCCCTTTCCTCTTCTCCCAGTACAATCCTTTTTTTTTAACCTCTTAATTTTTTTTTATAACATCACATCAAAGTCAACTTATACCCATACTCTCTATGTATACTTCTTCTAACTGTCCTAATAGAGATACAATTCTTAAGAGTTACAAGTATCATCTTCCTGTATAGATATGTAAGCAGTTTAATCTTATTGAATACTGTGGTTCTTTTTTCTTTCCTGTTCACCTTTTTAATGCTTCTCTTGTGTCTTATTTTTGAAGATCAAATTTTCTGTTCAGCTCTGGTCTTTTTATCAGGAAAGTTTGAAAGTCTTCTATTTCAGTGAATGTCCATCTTTCACCCTAGAAAATTACGCTCAGTTTTACTGGGTAGCTGATTCTTGGTTGTAATCTAAGCTCCTTGGCCTTCTGGAATATCATGTTCCAAGCCCTCTGATCCTTTAATGTAGAAGCTGCCAACTTCTAGGTAGCCCTGACATGGCTTCTTGATATTTGAATTGTTTCTTTCTGGCTTCTAGTAGTATTTTCTCCTTGACCTGATAATTCTGGAATTTGACTACAGTATTTCTTGGAATTTTCATCTTGGGATCTCTTTCAGGAAATGATCGGTGGATTCTTTCAATGACTATTGTACCCTCTGGTTCTAGGCTATCAAGGCAATTTTCCTTGATAATTTCTTGAAAGATGCTATGCAGGCTCTTTTTTTGACCATGGCCTTTAGGTAGTCCAATAATTCTGTTTTTCCAATGAGATATTCTACGTTTTCTTCTATTTTTTCATTCTTCTGATTTTGTTTGACTGATTCTTGATGTCTTATAGAGTCATTATCTTCCATTTGCCCTATTCTAATATTTAAGGTATTGTTTTCTTCTGTTAGCTTTTGTACCTCCTTTTCCATTTGGCCAGTTCTACTTTTAAAGGAGTTGTTTTCTTCAGTGGATTCCCCCCCCCCATTTGGCCAATTCTGTTTTCTAAGGAGTTGTTTTCTTTTTTATCTAAATTTTTATTTTATTTTGTGACACAATTGGGGTTAAGTGACTTGCCCAGAGTCACACAGCTAGTGAGTGTTATGTGTCTGAAGCCTGATTTGAACTCAGGTCCTCCTGACTCCAGGGCCAGTACCCTATCCATTGCACTACCTAGCTGCCCCAAGAAGTTGTTTTCTTCAGTCAGTTTTTGTGCTTCCTTTTCCAAGCTGTTGACTTTTTTCATAATACTCTTGCATAACTCTCATTTCTTTTCCCAAGTTTTCTTCTATTTCCCTTTAATTTTAAAACCTTTTTTGAGCTCCTCCAAGAGGACAACATATTGTAGAACTGTGGTTTTTAACCCATTCTATCTGCTTTATGGGAGAGTTTATGGGAGAATTGAGACCAATTCATATTCCCCTCTGAGGCTTAATGTGTAAGCATTATGACACTGTTGTCCTCTTCTGAGTTTTTATTTTGATTTTCCCTGTTGCCACAGCAGCCTTCTAGAGTCAGGGCTCTTTTGTTTCTCACTAATTTTTTTTAGCTCACCCTTATATATGAAACTTCCATATATTATCTTTAAACAACAATTATGTGAGGTAGTTGATATTATTATCCACACTTTACAGATAAGAAAACTGGGGCTCAGAAAGGTTAAAGATCTTGTCCAAGGTCAGGGAGATAGTAAGTATCAGGAGCAAGATTCACATTTATGCCTTTCTAACTCCAGGTCCCCCCTGCTACCCAATAAATAAATAAAGTCTCTTAGGGTACTTGTAGGTCTAAGTAGGTTGCCAACAACGACCTGAATATGTAAGAAATGTCATAGGATCGCAGATCTAAGGCTAGAAGAGACTTCAGAGGACATCTAGTCTACTTTTTCATTTTACAGATGAGAAAACCAATGCCTAGAGAGGGTAGGTGATTTTCCCAAGATCACGCAGTATGTAATAAGCAGCAGGGCTGGGTTTAGAATTCAGGTTTTGTGACTCCAAATTTATTACTCTTTCCATTGTACTATGCCATTTCCCAGAAATGAGGATCTCACTGAAAAAGGAGGTATAGCTGTTACCTAGCAAGAGTGGAGAAAATAGGATAGCCTGAGGATTACAGGGCATCCAGAAGATGTTAATAAATTCACAAACAGGCTAGCAGACAAAAGTCTCCTGTGTATCTGGTGGATGACTTATGAGATTTAGGGAACTACATGGACAAGAATGACATGGGAGCAGAAGTGATATTCTGCACTTTGTTGTTGTTGTTCAGTTATTTTTGTCATGTCCCACACTTGGTAACCCCATTTGGGGTTTTCTTGGCAAAAATGCTGGAGTGATTTGCTACTTCTTTCACCGGTTCATTTTACAGATGAGGAAATGGAGGCAAACAGGATTAAATGACTTGCCCAGGGTCATATAGCTAATGTCTAAGGCCAAATTTGAACTCAAGTCTTCCTATCTCCAGGCCTGGCACTCTAGCCACTTCACCACCTAGCTGCCCCAGATGATCCTATACCAATGACATAATGGCTCCAAGGAGATATTAAACACGTTAATTTTATATCACAATATATAGAGTCTGTTTGAGAGAGACTTTAATTTTGGATAGTTGAAACAACATGTTTACTTTAGCTGGACAAAATTCCTCAAAGTTCAATAATTTGAATTTTAAAATAATTCTTTTTTATTTGCATGGAAAATAATGTTGAGAGGATTTCTTCAAAGCACTTTTAGAAGGATGGTAGAATGAATTAAAGGTGAAGTTGCCCAAGCTAGCAAGAGACTCAAAACTATAACCCACTCTATTCAATGGAGACACCAGTCTTCCTAAATATCAAAAATGTGGTAAAACTTTGTTTTTTGGGGGTTTTTTTGTTTTTTGTTTTTAGGCAATTGGAGTTAAGTGACTTGCCCAGGGTCACACAGCTAGTAAGTGTCAAGTGTTTGGTCTGAGGCCACATTTGAACTCAGGTCCTCCTGACTTCAGGGCCGGTGCTCTATCCACTGCGCCACCTAGCTGCCCCCTATGGTAAAACTCTGTAATGACAGATCTTAAAAAAACAAAAGCCGTCTAGCAATTCCAGTCCTGACCACTTCACCTTATACAAACCGAAGAGGCCTTTTCAAAATTCAATCAGGTGTGTGTAGGGTCCGTTGGTATCAAGCTTTAACACTTGTCTGTTCCCATAAGTTCCATGTCTCACCACCATACCGGCTTCTGCACATTTACTGTTGGCAGCAAGCTCTTTTTCACACAGAGTCACAAACTGAGAATAAAGTGCTAATCCTTCTTCTTTTCCAGAGTTGGTGTGGTACTGCATGTTTCTTCCTCTCACTCTTCCTCCGAGGGTGGCTTGGGGGATGATGAGGATGTTCCCAGGTAGATCCAATATAGAGACACGCTTGCCATTTTCGGCCTCACTTAATTTCACATTCAACAGTGTGCTAACTGGGAGGAAAAACATTCTGAAGTGAAAAGTCAAACCAACAATACCCCCCAAGAAACCACCAACCCTCAGTGAATCCAAAAATCATGTTTAAAAAGCTGGTTTGTCAGCTCATATATCTTGACCCAAATCCTTATTTACATGTTTAAAAATGCTTTGTTAAGCAAAAAAAAAAAACAAACCCAAAACAAAAAAACAAACAAAAAAAAGAGCAAAAAACTCCCCCTAAATACAAATAGCTAGTCTTATACAAAAAACGGAATTAGTAGTTAATGTGACCCCAATATTATATCCCTAGGTAGCTTTTTAAAAAAACAAAAAAACATAACCACATGCTGGGGTCTTGAGATAATGCCATCCTAGGAGTACATGTTAAGGTACTTATAGGCCTTCATAATGGAATCCCCTTGAACAAGAGTTCAAGATGAAGCTACTGTTAATTCTGCTCTACACCACAAATAGCATTAGATGAAAATTCTAGTCCATGTGGTGTTTTTAGCTTAGGTATTTAGAACACTTTGCTAATGAGGCTAAGGTTTATGAATTCAAGTCCCATATGGTTGGCTTTTGTTCTATTTTATTATTGATTTTTACATTGACATCAACACCACAGAAAAATGAAAGGATTGATGAATTTGGCACATATTTAAAAAAAAAAGCTAGAAAATCATACTAGACTAGTGTGAAATAGCCATCTCACAAATGTCATTGGTTGGTTAGGGCTGGGGGAGATACGAGCAAAAGAGTCATCAGAAACACATCATTTCTATTAGAACAACAACTCCAAGAAAGCAAATGTTAGATAAGCAATATTACCTTTATCTAACAATGCCTGCATTACTGTAATCTAATATAATAACAATGTTATGATTATGGAATCACAAACCATTATGCAGATTTATGGTTTTATAGATGTTTTACATGTGCACAAAAACAATTCACCTGTGATTCTCAATAGAGCTTGCTATGGTAACTGAAACTTGGAATTACATGAGGAAAAATTTAAGGATCTGTGATTTTATCACTGAAGGGAACTCCCTCCATGGGAGCAGAATTTGAACAGTCTGTGAATTGTTCGCTGAGTCCTAGGGAGTTGCTTGAAGCACATAAATGTCTAGTGAATTGTCACGCAATTAGTAACCATCAGAGGTGAGATGTGAACCTAGGTATTCTTGACTCCTAAGGCCAACACTCCAGCCATGCTGCCTTTATCCAAAAACAAAACAGAACAAAAACCAAAACCCAAAACAACAATAACAAAAAAAAATACCCAGGCATTTACTTATTGCCTAGCATGCGTCAGTCACTGTGTTGGGCATTAGGGATAAACATATACACACACACACACACACACACACACACACACACACACACACACACACACATATATAAAATGAAACAATCTCTATTCTCAAGTAATTTACACAAAAACTACACAACATTCACAAATATCTACCCTTAAAAAATGCTCAAGAAGTATATTTTGAATTACAAGTACTTTTCCAAATCCTGACTGACTTCTGTTTACAAAATCAAAAGTGGCCACTAGAGATGGGAGAGAAACTATATGAAATTAATTCCCACAGAAAAGCAGTATAGCAAAAACATACCTACAGATGGCGAGGTGGCAACAATTTGTCTTTCAGAGATAGAAGCTAATCTCTAATTAGAATTAAAGGAATATTAGAATGGATACTCTGGGGAAACAGTGGGAACCCTCAATAGATTTTTCACCTACTCCCCAAATCAAAGGTTATATCTGGCTAAAAATCCTTGGGAGGCAGGATATCTAAGAGTTATTCAACTTCATAAAATTTTGCTTAACTAATATTTACTTTATTTTCTCTATTTGGATTGTGCCATACAGCCCACTAATTGAACAGCTGACTTCTCAGGGGAGGTGTAGCTCTCCAAGGTATTCGTGCAGTTTTGAGGTTAATTCACCACCTAGGCTCTAGACTAGTGAAAGATCAAAGAGTAACAGGGCAGTCAGGGCAGTCAGGACAGAAGCATGCAGAGCTACCAGATACCTCCCTCTGCTGGCTATACCTGAGAACTTGACTAATGCTGTTAGGTTCCCTACAGAAAGAAAGAAAAAAAAACCAACCAAAAAAACTGGCTCATGGATTTTAAGAAGGAAGGGAGCTTTGAGGTCATCTAATGCAAGCCCTGTTCCCTCCCTTGAGGAAACAGGTTCAGAAAAGTTGTGACTTACTCTAGGTCACACAGATCAGAAAGTAGAACAAAGATTTGAACTCAGGTCCCCTGATTCCAAAATCCAGCACTGTTAGGATGTTATCTCCTAACAGCAGAGTGCCTGGCACATAACAGGCACTTAATAAATTTTTACTAATTGATTTATCAATTGAATCTTGAATTTATAAGAGGGTTATGATTCAAAAGATCATTTTATGTTAAGTAGCCTGCTCAGAATTCATTTCTCCAGAGAAACAGGGTTATACATAGTAGTTAAGTTGTCAAGCCAACTCACAAACGACTTTAATTTCTGGTCTTGAAGTATTCTCCTATACAGACAGTACAATAGAACTTAACCACTAAATGTTAATGATGTTTCTCTGGGAAAATGAGTTCAGAATTTTAACTTCAAATGCCAGGCTCACATTTTATGAAACTGCATTGGAAATGGGGCCTTGAGGGAAAGTGGGATGAACAGATTGGGACCTTGTACTAAGGACGGGATTGTAACTTAAGTAAGAGCAGAGAAAAATGGTTGGGAAATAAAGGGCTTCAAAGTAAATGGTTGTGGGGGTCAGCGTAAGGCACTGTGGACACTTTCTAGTTCCACCTGGGCCCCCTTCCACAACCTAACTGGTGGCCATTTATTCACAGGGGATGGATCTAAGTTTAACTCATGAAAGCTAGGGACTGCTTAGGGCAAACAAAAGAGTGGATTAGACAGCTTCATCATTTGGTTCGTACTTCTCATATACTTATGTTCTACTTTACATTAGAGTTATTTTTGTTTGTATCTCTCCTTGTCTACTAGATTGTAAAACCACTGGAGGGCTGGAATCATGTCTCATTTATTTAACAGCCTCAGTACCTATCAGTCAATCAACAAACATTTATTAGGAGCTAGTGTTTGAGGCTGGATTTGAACTCACAACCTCCTGACTCTAGGCCCAGCACTTTACCCACTGAGCCACCTAGCTGCCCAGTCCCTGGCACAGCCTTTGAGGATTCAAGATCCCCTCTGTGCTATTATAAGGCATTAAATTAGGACTTTGTTGGAGGCTTTGTAAAAAGTAGGCACTTAATAAACGTACATTGAAGTTGAGAGACCGTAAAACCTCCCAAATTCTCAAATAGAATACCAAATAACCAACAATGCCTGACTGTTTTTTATTTGAAATGAAGACTTGGTATCCAACTGTGTTGAAGACAAATGGACAAAGAAACTATACATATATCGACATATAATTTAATTTTGTTATTGGATAACATGATATGTAGATCATTGATTTAAGGGGCCTTATAAGCCATCTAGCCCTACATTTTACAGATGAAGAAACTGAGGCCCAGAGAGGTTACGTGACTTGCCAAGGTTACATATTTAGTTAGTGACAAATGCAAGATATGGTCTTCAGTTAGTTCTGCTCCCAAATTTAGCATTCTTTCTACCGCATAACGCTGCCTAAAAAGCTTTGAATCAGACCTGAGCATCTGATGCACTTACTTAAATTGTTTTTCTTTACTGCAATCTTGTATATATACTTATACGACATGTTATTTTCCTGATTTCAGCTGGGGTGAAGTTTCATCACTTTTAAAGAACTTCTGACTTAAAAATGACTCTTTTGAATCATCATGTCCCAAATGTACCCATTTTTGCTACTTATATTTCTGAATGTCTTTTCTATTTATAAACACATGTAGCTGCTGCCCCTCATCCATGAAGATCACATTAATGACCAATATCTGACTTAAAGGCCAATCCTGTTATAGCAGGATTTTGCTGACATGACAAGTTGTTACATTTTGGGGAAGGATATATCCAAATCAGTGGTATAATAAAGTGTATTCCAAAAAGCTTTTATTATATAGATTGTCCCAAAAGTCTTAGTGTGGCTTTAAAAGTCTTAGCATGGCTTTAAAACCACACTAAGACTTTTGGGACACCTTATGTTTGCATACTTCATGCCCTAGAATAGAGGAACCAATACAGGCCAGAGGAAGGACACACATATTTGACAGATCTATGCATCTGTCAGTTTAGGGAACTCTTTTTCATCAGTGCAGATGGACACCCATAGATTCATTTGTGGGGTGTTGTGTATGACACAGAGATTACGTGAACCAGGGTCACATAAGCGAGTAAATCAAACAAGAGGAAATGAGATAATATTGGTAAAATGCTTAGCACAGTGCCTAGCACATTGGAACTTAGGTTTTCCTATCTCTAAGCCCAGCACTTCATATCCACTACACAGTGTTATTTCTAAGACTATGGACAATGACAACAATTCCAAAATGGAAAGGAAGCTGAGAGGTAATTTGGCCCAGTGAATAGAAATCTTGGACTTGAGAGTCAGGAAGATCTAGTTTAAACCCTACCTCTAGCCTTGGGCAAGTAACAAATCCTTTCTGGGCCTTGGTTTCCTTATCTGTAAAATGAAGAAGGTTGGCCTGGATCAGAGGGGTCAAGTATGCTTCCAAGTACCTCTAAAATTAATGCAATTGGGAAATATTTAAAAGGAATACAACATAGATAATGTTAATTTGTGGTTTTCTAAGTCAATATGGCTCCATTTCTATTTGGTCTGTGGTCCATTTCTATCTGAATTTGACACCACTAGACTAGGGTCCTAAGGTCCCCTCTGGCTATGATCCTTTGAGCCAGATGATCCAGAGCTAAGTTGTTCATAGCATTCTCTTGACCAGCCCCACTAGCACAAATTTTCAAAGGCAGAGGATCCTGAGGCTAATTATGCTCCTTCACATTCTTTACTTTCACCTCATTATTTTTTCTGCTCATTCTGTATATTGAGAAGTAAAATATAATGGCTGAAATCACACACATACCCATTTTAGGCAGAAGGTCTTCTTCAGCACCTTTGAAGAAGCAGACATAGATCACTAATGCTGTTGGAACCTGTAAGAAATCAGCAAAGTTTTTAAAAAGTTAGAAACTAACTTCCTTACAGGGGCTTAAAAAGAATGTACCAAAACAAAGCAAAACAAAACCAAAAACAACAAAAGGAAACAAAACAATATAACACATAATATGAGATATCTACAATGACAGCAGTAGAAAAATCCATACACGCATTATCAGCACAGAGGTCAAAAGCAAAGGAAAGCAAAGAGCTATTTTCAAAATATATTTGATTACTTAATTCCGAGTCTGGAAGATCAAATTGTGTCCACTTATCAAGCACTTAGGGAATCATTTCCTTCAATAATTATTTAAGCTGAAAAATAGCTTGCAGAAGCAAAGGAAGCAAATTATCCCTTGAAAAATGAATGCTATATCTTTATGGGATACATTTTGAAAGGCATATTTCCCACTAATCAGAGATGTCAGGACGATATCCACCATTCTCTTGCCCCCTCGGTGAGATAGGCAAACTTGGAAACATTTTGTTCACCATGTCCCACTTATTAAAGACAAATGCCACTTATCGCTACACTTTTATTCATTATTATTTACTGACAGATATAAAAGAAAGCTTGCATAGCTGATGAATTAAAATTTAGGGATTAAATAGATTAATTTATTTGGTATTTTGGTTAACTCACTTATTATTTCTAGTCTGGAATCCCTTGTATCATAGCCAAAGAGTAGTCAGTCATTCAGCCTTTGCTTGAAGACCTCCCAGCAGCAGGAACCATCTAACTTCTCCCTTATACCTTTATAACTCACTTCATTTTTGGATCAAATTGTTACCAAAGTTGTTGTTTTTTAATCTCAAAACTTCTTTGCAACTAAAAAGTAAGTCTACTATTAGGGCTTAGTAATATATATTTTTTAATTATGCTAAAATTTGCATTATAATGCCTTTAAAAAAATAACATGATTTCAGGAGACTGTGATTTAAATCTGGCCTCAGATACCTACCTGCTGTGTGACCTGAGCAAGGAAATTCAGAGACTCAATTTCTGACTCTGGGAAAAATATTGACAGAAACTGCCTCACAGGGTTGCAATAAGTAAAGAACTCTGTAAATCTTAAACTGCTATTTAAATGTGAGTTAGCACTATTAAAATTATTTGATAGAATTTGTAAATCAGGTTCCTCAGAGGTTATCTAGCCTTACCCTTACCAGAACATTCTAGTAACTAGCACAAAAGGAAAGGAGGATACCTATACCTATTTCTGTAACAGAACACCCTGGCCTGATATAAGAGTGGGTCATCCTGCCAGGAGTTGGCAGCCTCAGCAATGGACTTTCATAACTATACCACAAGTCCAACCAATCAGTGCTGTAGCAAAGTCAAGGAGTGAGACAACACCAGAATTAAATAGCTTTTTGTTCTCCAAGATCAATACCAATTCCTTCCATCTGTCCATAGTCACTACTCATTAAAGTCTTTCTCTTATAGTTTGTCCTATCAATACACATCCTTATGACCTGGTCATTTCTCCCTCCAAGTAATAGCTTCTCTCCTGATCTTAAAAAGTTATGGCTTTTCAAGGGGAAAGGCAATGGAGTTTGTCACTTGAAAAAAATAAAGCCAAACAATGCTACTTTGAAATTTTTTGACTCTAGAAATAAATGATTGTAAAAAAAGGGTACTTAATGACTCCCAATTATTTATTATAAGTTAATTTATTGTGGTTGCTTGGAGAAATAAGAGGGAGAAATGTCAGAGACCTTCCGTATAAAGGAAATGAAGCATAGTATTTATCAAAAAAAAAATGGGACAAGAAACCAAAGAGGTACAGAAGATAAGTACACTGAAAATTAAACCATTATGTAACAATCAGAACTAACAGTTTTCAACATGGAAGTAAAAACAAAAGAAGTTAACTTTACTCCATTATGGAACAGTGGCTATTAAGGAAAGAGGGAAATGAGGACATTCTTAAATATAAGAAAAAGAAAATACTTAGAACATGATTTTCATGTATAGAGAGAGGAGAGAAAATAGGAATTTTATTTTTGCTTTTTTTGGGGTTTTTTGTGAGGCAATCAGGGGTTAAGTGACTTGTACAGGTTCACACAACTAGTGAGGATCATGTGTCTGAGGCCGCATTTGAACTCAGGTCCTCTTGACTCCAGGGCTGGTGCTCTATCCACTGTACCACCCAGCTGCCCTGAAAACAGGAATTTTAAAAAAATAAATACTCTTAACAAGGGTTAGTAGAATCAATCAATAAGCATTTTATTAATTATCTACAAAGTTTCAGGCACTGTAGTAGACCCTGGAAATATTAAAAACAAAAAAAGACAAGCCTATCCTCAAGAAGCTTACATTCCCACCAGTGGAAACAACATGTAAACATATTGTTCTGTCCTTGCATTTGTGTCAAACTCTTTCTGACCCCATTTGGGGTTTTCTTGGCAAAGATACTGGAGCAGTTTGCCTTTTCCTTCTCCAAAACATGCAAGTGTGTGCAAAATAAATGCAAGGTAATAAGGGAAGATGAAGAACAGAAGGCCATAAGAGGTGGCTAGTGATATTGTGTTTCCAGTGACTAATATCAAGAAAGGCAGTTTGACTGGACTAAACAGTATGTGAAGGGGAGTGATGGATGATAAACCTGGTGTTAGTTTGGAGTCAGCTTGTAAAGGACTTCAAATGCCAGAGGATTTCATAAGTGATCCTAGTTAATAGGGAGACAGTGGAATTTACTGAGTCTGGGAATGACCATGATCAGACTCAGTACTGTCCCCCATTAACTAGCAAAATAAAATGAAATAAAATAAAATAAAGGTTGTCAGTAATCTAAAAGACAGACTCAATACTGTCAATCAACTTTCATACTATTACCTTGGAAGCTGTGTGGAAGAATTGGAAGGGGAAGACTTAAGGCAGGGAGAAAAAACCGCCAGAATCTGATTGAAAATTTTGAGTCAGCTGACTTTTAATGAAAGGAGAACTAGCAGTAAAATTGTAATTTGGATATTTAAAAAATAGGAATGTGTAAAGATGAAATCATGTCAAGCCTAGAACATAATATTGGGTGTTACCTACATTTCCAGGTGTTTTAGTTAAAGGAGATTTCAATTGTTTGGGGTTTTTTTAAGGTTAGTATAAAAAAACCCCAAAGTTTTGTAGAATGGATGAAATCATTCTTATAAAAGACCTTGAAATGCTAGAAGAAAGATGTCAGAGATACAGCGACAACACTAAGGTGTCAGAGCCAAAATTACAATATAAAAAGAACAGGGTTCATTTCCTTATGAAAATAAGTCCAATTAAAAGACTTTCTAGGAAATAAAGCCTTTCTGGGAAACTTCACTTTTCCAGGCCTTTGCCCAAGTCAAAATCTGCAGAACTTTTACTTCAAAAGAGGAACTCATCATCCTCCGAATTACACACACAAAAGCCTCAACTCCAATTTTCTATCTGCAAGGTATCTTGCCCACAGTCTGCTCAGGGTGCAGCTAAGACAAAGGCTGGATCTCCGCTCCAAGACACTGACAACAGGCGAACCCCACTCCTGGCAATCCAGTTTCTGGACCAGGACGGGCCGTGGGAGGCGCTTTGAAACTCCAAAGCCAGCCTCAATCGGGAGATCCTATCAGCTTCTAGGAAAAGGAGGAAGTAGTCTAGGCTGTGGGGAACTCACTCTTCCACGGACACCTGAGGGCGCTCGCTTCTCCACGAACACGGAAAGTGGCAGACTGCACCAGGCAGGCGTGCACCAGGCCAGCGCACGTTGAAGGCGCCGTAAGCCTAGTTAGAGCGCGCGCCCCCCCCATCCCCCTGGGCCGGGGTTGGAGCTGTCGGCATCTCCAAGGACCGGGGTGCACCAGAGGCGGGTGGGAATAGGCAGGGAGAAACGAGGCTAAAAACGGCTCCTCGGGAGGGAGGGGAGGAAGGTCTGCAGAGGGATAAGAAACACTGCACCATGAAGGCTGAGAATCATTGCACCACAAGGCTACAACGAGGTCTGGCAGGGCCGATTTTACCTCCACCCATTGCGCCTCGACGTCGCCCTCGGCAGGACGGACTTGCAGCTTGGCATGAAGGCACTGCTGCAGCAGCACGCGGGCCTGCGGCGGCCGGCCGGCCTCGGCCATGGCGGAGAGCACACCTGAAGATTGACTACGGCCCCGGGAGATCTAGCAGCCGCTGCGTGGCTCAGCTCAGCTTCCGCCTCTTCCCTTTGGGAGGAGCCCCGGAGAGGAGGGCAGGGCAGGAGGCGGAGTCACTGGAGCTGGGAGGAAAAAGGCCTTGTATTAGGGTGCGGTATGTGGAAGGGTGTCCTTCATTTATACCTCCACCTTCCTATATCTCGAGGTCGGGGCGTGACTCTTACTCCTCCCCTCAGGTAACCCCAGTGAGGTTCTCAAGAAAGAGCCCACCTTTCGGGCTTCTACCCCCCCCCCCCATTCTGTTTGCTGAGATGCCAGAGAAGGAAGGCAATTTTAGATAGGAGGAAAAACTGCAAAAACTGACAAATGGCAGGACTTAAACTTGGGGCCTTGGGGTCTCATGATGTCCATTCACAGTTTCTCTTATTGATTTCATTGTGTGCTTAAAGCAGAAGTTCTTCATCTTTTTGTGTGTCATGGACTCCTCTGGCAGTCTGGTGAAGTCTATGGACCCTTTCTTAGAATAATATTTTTAAATGCATAAAATATGGAGGAAATACAAAGGAAACCAATTAAATTGAAATAAAAATGTAATTATTCCTCATTCAGGTTCCCCTGAAATCCATTCACAGACGTGAGTTATGTGCATTTTTAAAAATATTGACAAATTTGGGGACCCTGGGTTATGAGCATTTGTTCTACACCAATGAATTTTTTAAAGTATTTACTTTTTATACATTTTGTATCCTACTTTCTATGAACCAGTTCAATCTTCCCAGAAGGAAAACTCCTTGATGGTAGGTAAGAACCTCTAAAAAGAGAGGGTGAGGAATGTTTTTTTTGTTATGGATCCCAATTATTTGTTTAAAGTCTTATTTTTTAAAAATTAATTTAAAAATTATCCATCAACAGAAACAGATAAGCAAAATAAAGAAGAAAATTGTTAGTTTTAACAAAGTAGAAGCCAATGATTTAGGAACAGGCAAATCTAAACAAAATATAAGATAGAACCTTGAAGGTCTGTTTAAAATTCCCCTAACCCTGGGAAACTTTCATTTCCTTCCCTTCTTATCCATTCCTTTTTTCTTCTTCTTGGCTTATTTCCTTTTTTCTTGTTTAAGATCCTTTCACTTAGCAACTCACAGAGCATTTCAGTAGCCTCAAAAACAGCCCCTGTGAAGCATTTGGGCAATTATCAAGGCTCTGTGGCAGGCCCCATTACTTTGCCTAACCTATTGCAAAAAGCTACTTAACTGGTCTTTCTGGGCTCTTTTCCCTCAGATCTTTTTCCCCCCTACAAAGCACCACTTTCATACACAGCTCAAAACAAAACAAAAACCAGCAACAACAACCAAAAACTAAAAAAACCAAAAACTTCCATGCTTACCAAAAGAAGAACAAACTCTTTGCCCTGAATTTAAAGTCCTTGGGGAATCTTGCTATTTTTCTACCCCTTTTTTGGCCACTATTCTCTACAAGTAGACTTTTCTGCAGCCAAGTTATATAGATTATTTATGATTTCCAAGTATTACCTGCACTTCCCTAGTCTATCTTCTTTTCTCTACCTGGAATACTTCCTTGCAGTATCTTCCATCAAAATTCTACCCATTCTTCAAGACTATTTTCAATGCTACTTCCTCAGTGAAACTTTTCCTGATTCTCAAGTCAGAAGTGATTTCTTCCTGCAGTACTGTGCTCATTACCTTCCTTACATCACTCATCATATTTTACCTTATGTTATTGCTATTGGCACGTATGTATGATTTTCTCTGGGGATCAGGGTGGTACAGTGGAATTAAGGGCTGGACTTGGAATCAGGAACACCTGGGTTTAAATCCCACCTCTGACAAAGGTAGCTATCTGTGTGACCCTGGGCAAGTCACTCAAATCTTTCTTGAGTCTTCCTTTCCTCATTTGCAAAATAGAGATAATGGCATCTACCTCTGGGTTGTAGAGAGCATCAATTGAAATAATTTATGCAAATCAATTTTCAAACCTTAAAGCGCTATGTAAATATTAGTTGTTATTCTCTGATGATTAGTTTATTGAGGATAATTTTTGTAATTATTATTGTATTTTAGTTTATCTTTGTGTTCCCTCATAGGGTCTAGCACGGTGCTTTGTGAATAGAATTTAATAAATATTTTATTCCTACCATAACTACATAAGAAACGGTTCCTAGACCTGAACAGGTGTGGTGGGAATGTTGAAGTCTGAGAGGTTGAGACCCCTCAAAGGCCGGAGTACAGGACAGGGTCATCTGGAATGAATTCACAGACTCAAGCATTCTTTAATTCAAGTTGGTAAAGATTTATTTTTACACTATATAGCAGGCAGGGATTCATAAGGAACCTGTGACCTTAGAGGGATTCAGTTAAAGTTTATATAGGATAAACTATAGTAAAACATGTGCCATATATGCTAATTAGGTGATTCAGGGTAGGGTTAGGGAGTGGTTAAGGAACGGTAAATTCTTAAAGGAACATGTACTTCTTGTATTTACTGCACAGGTGTTTTACCCAGAGTTCACCAAGAGAAGCCTACGGGGGGGGGGGGGGGTGCTACATGGAGGTATGGTTTTTAGGTCTGCTACTTCACTAAATTAACTAGCGGTCAGGGCCGACTGAGGATTGCCCCATCTGCCACCAGTCAATGTCTTGTTTGACAAGACAGATGTAGGAAGTATATGTATGTCTTAAGTCTAGAACGCTCATAATGAGGAGTCCAGGATATAGATGAGGTAGGGAGGTAGTATAGATAGTCCAGTGGGTATGAATATACTGCAAAGCCAGTTCAAACTAATAATTCCTTCAGGTACAGTTTGTAACTGCACCAGGGAGAGAGATAAGTGTGTTGCTGAGGCCCACTCATGAGTAACTGCTAGGCATAGTGTCCAGGAATAGTGTTTCTGAGACTAGGAAGAAATATGGTCTTAGATTTGGGGTCCCACTACAAGCACCCCATCAGGAAATCTATAGCTTTGAGTACACATGTGGCCCTCTAGGTCCTCAAGTTTGGCTCTTTGACTGAATCCAAACTTCACAGAACAAATCCCCTGAATAAAAGGATTTGTCCTGTGAAACTTGGACTCAGTCAAAAGGCACCTGAGGACCTAGAAGTCCACATGTGGCCTCGAGGCCACAGGCCACCTATGTCCTGGATTCTAAGAGTCTGTGAAATTATAATCAGAAACCTGGTTATTCCCATTGCATAAATAAGTAAACAGAGAAGAGATTCAACACACAGTAAAGAGTATGGAGTTGAAAATAAAAACTATAAATCCCACTCTTTTTCTTCCTGAAATCAGTAAATACTCTATCCTCTATGAAGAATGCTAAAAATCATTTTAACTTCTTAGTTGTAAAAATGTTATAATATGTGGTTTAAATACATATCTTGCCACCAGTTCTGAAGAACATATCATCATATTTAAAGTGTTCTTATGTTAGAAGCTTATCAGAATATAAGCAATTGCTTTGACCTGCTATTTACTTCAAGGACCTGTGATTGCATCACTCTGGATATTGCCTTTACAGAGGCAGATTGTAGCCCCTCCCTGCTGTAGCCTTCTTGAGTTGATTTGGCTGAAAAACAAAAACCCTAAAACTTTTAACGTAATAGACAATCTTCTGATAATGGACCTTTTCAAACTTAGCTAGGCTGGTCCTCAGAAATCATTAATTTCAGGACTCAAGGCCTTTCCCCCTTGATAGCATATGCCACAATTAAAAAACAGTAACCTTTATCACAGTGAGGTATAGTAGTAGGATTTTAGGGTGGTAGCTGGGTGGTGTAGTGGGTAGAGCTCTAAATCTTAAGTCAGGAAGACTAGAGTTCAAATTTGGCCTCAGACACTTACTGGCTGTGGGCCCCTCGGTAAGTCATTTAACCCTGTTTGCCTCAGTTTCCTTACCTGTAAAATGAGCTAGAGAAGGAATTGGTAAACCTCTCCAGTATCTTTGCCAAGAAAACCCCAAATGAGGTCATGGAGAGTCAGAAACGACTCAAGTGGGATTTTAATTGAAATTACTCACATATAAAAAATACATTTCTTCATGACGTGTACAACTATATTGCTAAATAGAAGAGTGTTAAATGTTATAATATATTTCTTATAAGTACATAGTAAATTACAAATAAAATGAAATCATAGTTTATTTTCTATAATAACTCATGCCATGAAAATATACTTTAATAGAGTATATTCACAAGTTGTACATTCTCTGATCTTATTGAGATGGGTAGTTCTTTCACTAATATTGATCACAGCCTCAACCTGTGTGATATTTGTCCATGGTTTTCCATATATTCTTCACAGAGAGTCTACCAAACACTATGGAGGCTGTCTTCTGCTTTTTGCTTGTTCTGTTTTGAACATTTCATAGAGATTAGTATGGAAAGTACTATCTGCTATTCTTCACTCTTACAAGGTACAGTTAGTTCTGCTATGATACATATTTTGAAAATGTGAATTTGTTCCAACAGAACTGATATGTTAGGGAGCATTTTGAGCATAAATCCAATTTCGAGTTTGCTTCTTCAAAATTTCTTCCTCAAGAAACAGCAAGAAGATAGAAAACTGCATCACTTCATAGTAATTTACAAGCTGCAACCCTTCCAATACCCAACCCACTTCCATAAACACTCCTCAGGTCTTTGGCAAGGTAAAGTACCATATTTATTATCTATCTTCTGGTATAGTAGTTGCTGTGGGCAAAGAAGGGATGGGCTAAACCACCAGCATTCCCTTCAGCCTTGGTCTTGTTACTGAGTAGCAGAGCAACAGCCTGAGGCCGCTATTTTTTGTAATCTTTATTTCTTAACCATTAACTGTGCTACTGTTTTTATGATGTTCCTATCTTTATTTTTATCTGTCACTGACAAAGCTTTTGAACATTATGTCCCTAAACCCGTATGCCTCATAAGGTCTGTGATTATTATTGTGAAATTTTTACATAGCAGGGTGCTTTTTGCAAACACTTGTAACTTTTTATAGCAAAATTGACTGCAAGTGAGCACAATAGAGTCCCTGGAATGTCCTAGTCAGAGCTTACTCCACTCTTTCCTCTCTTCTAACCTCTCT